TATCTATCTATCTATCTATCTATCTATCTATCTATCTATCTATCTATCTATCTATCTATCTATCTATCTATCTATCTATCTATATGTTTGTGTGTGTGTATACAGTATATATGTATATGTAAATACTTTCCTGATAAATGTGGTATATTTCCATTAACTACAGTTAAAATTAAATAGAGTGTATGATTAAACATAAAAGCTATATATAATGTAGCACACAAAATTGAAGCTCCCATCATGCTTGTTTTGATGAGACTGAACTGTGTTTGAACACTTTGTCTGAACTTAGTATTTCCGAAGGATGTTACATTCTACATAGACTCAGCTGCATACTCACCTTAAGAATGGTGGCTACCACCTCTTGAGAAGCATGTCTGACATCCTCACCATTGACAGATAATATCTGATCTCCTTGAATTAGTCGCCCATCAAGGTCAGCAGCTCCTCCTTTGACAATGTCAGAGATAAACACGCCACTTCCATTTCTAACAATATAGGCAACATATGTACTGTATTATTAAACAACTAAACTATACGCGTTATTTATCTGCAATTACACATTGTTAATTATTTCCAGCCCAAAACCAGGACTGCTGTTCTTGCTTTTCTAAAGGCAATAATATAGCTAAAGGCAATTTTCATTGAAAGCCTCCTCAATCAGAAAGGTCACATTCTGTCACTTAGCCAATGTATTGTGGTATAGCAAATTGTTTTGCTATATGGCTAAATTGTTATCATCAATACATTTTCAGATAAGAAACAATCTCTATCAATTTACTTTTGCACACAGAATCCCAATGCCACTACACAAAACACTATACAAAACAATATAATGGAAAACATTGTATCTTCTACTGAACAGTTCATTTTAAGTCTACTGCCCCTGAACTGGTAAAATGCTAATATAATTGCTAGCATAACACTTATAATAATTTCAGGGCATTATGTAAATTTTATAAATATAACATAGCAGTAAGTGCCACTATGACATTGGTATGCCCTCTCTGTTTCTACTGCAAGAAATATCTAAAGTGAATTATGATCAACTATATATTCCTTACCTTTTCCCTACAATGCTAAGTCCCAATCCTCTGCCCATTTTCCGCTGTAGGTCTACAAGGAAAACCTCCAAATTTTCTTCATCTTTATAATGAGCTTCATCTCTATAGACAACAAGCCGCACTTTTGGAGGTGTTTGCCTCAAGGCAGTGATAGCATCTTCATGGCTGGCATTTCTCAAGTCCATGCCATTAACCTAAAATAAAATAAAGCATTCTTTTGGATGTAGAGTTCACTTACTGGATTCTAATTAGTTTGATAACAGTGGTGTATTATATTAGAGGCAAATTAGCATAAGCTGTCCAGAGTTGCCTTGTGACAAGATTACTGGCAAACAAAATTAACAAATAAATGAACAAGCACATGAATAAATAAATTTTCCTAGGACTTCCCCCCCCAAAAAATACATTTTTGGAAAATTGCTTCTGTCATTCCAGCATCTCTAGCCCAGGTTAGAGTTAAGGTTTATACAGACTCAGTGCAGAATACCAGAAATTCTGCCAATTCACTTGAAAGATAAAATCATGGGTAAATATTTCAAGAAGGCAGTTTTCAACTCAACCCATTTGATCCAGAAAGTTTATTCACTTTGAACTCCAAAATCTGATTGATCTTAGTGAGACCAAGTTAGGAGTGAAAAGATGAATTTTCCTTATTTTGATTAGCTACAGTGACAATTAGAGTTCAGAATGACTAAACTAATATACCGATTATAGTTAACCATAGTTCAGAAACTGGAAGGTCCCAGGTTGTTTGGTTGAGTATTCTAGTTGAACCAGCACTTATTCATAAATATTGTTTTGTATAATTTACTAAAATAAATCATAGCTTCCCTCTGCTTACATTATGATATATAAAATCTCTTATTATTTATGCTTCTTAAATAATTGAGTAAGAATATATCCATTCTTAATTTCTGATAATATTATTTGAAAATGTAGTTTTCCCAAAATCCTTTGAGCAAAGTATCATGATGAAAAATCAAGTACTGTATGTTTTCTGAAGGTGTAACACTGAAATTCTACATGTCTACTGTAAAGTCTACTAATTTCAGTAAGATTTATTCATGCGTAAATAGAAGTAGCATTGCTTTCTTACCCCTGCTGTTTTGTATGCATAATAAAGATGTACCTGTTTTTTTTTTTAATTTCACAATTCTATCCTTGGAAAGCAAAATAACATTTTTATATATTCCAATAGATGGCACACCACACCACACCACAGCAAAGCTTTAAATTGGCCTTAAAACAAATATTAATATTAAATTGCAAAGGGAGCCAGAACACTGTTTTCACTATGATCAAGGCCAAATAAAACTTTATTTCGGTTTTAACTACAACTACTGCAACTTGAAACACGTACCCTGACGTAATTTCTGGAACAGATCTGGTATTATACTATATTCATATCTGAGAAAGCAATTTTATATGCAAGGACCTACTTTTTAAGTCTTCTCACAATGCCTACATTACATTACTAGATTAATGTAATTGACTTGCAAAACATTGCCTTCAAAATCGAAGCAGTAGTACATAGGTGACAGCTATTTTAGTGCAGTAATTATTGAAAGTGAGCTGAAAACCAGGAGACAATTAGTTGTTGCCCTTTCTTGACACAAAGCTGGCTGGATGCCTGTTACTTTCTCTCAACTCTGGGGTAGAATCAATGGCAAATAATTTCTTAAAAATATTGCCAAGAAAACTTAATGCACTTTCCATGTAGTTGGTAAGAGTGAAGACTGATTTGAAGTCACCTCACACAACCCTAAGAATATTTATAAATTATGTACGGTAATTTATGATAAGATATATTGGTGGGACTCAAACAATTAATACTGAATTTTGAATTCCTGTACTTCCCACCTGAATCAAATTATCAATCTTAAGGCATTTTAACACATCCATACAATTATCCTGAAGACAAGAGAAATATTCAAGGAAGTAAAACTCACTTCCAGAATTTGATCACCAGCCCAAAGTCGACCATCTCTAGCAGCTGCTCCTTCTTCATAAACTTCATGTATGACTATGGCATCCTAGAGAAATATATAAACTTTATATCAATATTTAACAGTTTGAAAACTGGTAGTTCAGCATATAGAATATTGATAGGCAGATAGGGAGGGAGGGAGGGAGGGAAGGAAGGAGGTAATTACATGTCAAATTTCCTATTACAGATAGTGTAAATATATTAAATATTAATAGGTATTGTGTAAATGTTTAAGTCCTTCTTTAATACTGTATGTAAGTTTAGGTGCATCAATAGAATATAGTGTCCAAATCACAGTAGGTTAGTAAATTCATTATGCACCCCATTGGTCAGATTCAACCTTGAATATCTGTATCATAATTTAAGAATTTAGACAAACTGAAACCGATTCATAAAAGGACACACTCACTCTGTCCCTCTCTCTTTAAAAGAAACCCTCTTTTGGTTCTGAAAGGGCAGTGTAAAATCCAATTAACATGAAACTACCAAAAAGTTTGGGAGAGTGGGAACAACTTTGCCTGATTCAATAGGTGTTGGGTGGGGCATCAGAGGCAGCCTCTACCTCTCATAAGGGCCTCCCTGTAGCCATGATTCACCTTTTTTTTGGCACCCTGAGAAAGCTTTCACAGATCTGGGGCAGGTATACAGGTAGTCCTTGACTTACGACCACAAATGAGCCCAAAATTTATGTTGCTAAACAAGGTAGTTTTTAAGTGAGTTGTTCTTCATTTTACACTCTGGTTCAGACAATTCAAAATAAAATTGGACAATCTCTTTCAGAAATATTTTACTATCAAGCATATAGTCCTGACAAAATTAGTAATTATTCTCATGCATGCAAACAGATGTCCTTTTGCCCTTCCAAGGACATCAGAATCTTGTCTTCAGAAAGCAGTAATTTGCTTCCATTTCCCCATCATTACAGTATCATTTTATCTCTCTCTCTCAAAAAAATCTTAATTTTATCTGGAAACAATCTTTGGAAAGGCTAGCACATTAGCACAAGACAACAGTCTGTAAATCCATTGAGTTTCTTTAGGAAATATGATTAAAATTACATCTAACAAGCCTCGAAAATAAATACATCAAACGTAATTTTAATCATATTTCCTAAAGAAACTCAATGACTTACAGACTGTTGTCTTGTGCTGAAGGAAGGAAGGGAGGGAGGGAGGAAGGAGGGAGGGAGGGAGGGACGGATGGACCATCTGCAAAGTCTTCCTTCCTTCCTTCCTTCCTTCCTTCCTTCCTTCCTTCCTTCCTTCCTTCCTTCCTTCCTTCC